AATCCAAGCAATATCTCAAAATATGACTACCACCACATTTTTATTGTCTCTTATTACATAAGTGAAAAAATTTAAAGAAAAAACTTTGAGCAGTTTTTGAGAATTTTTTTGTAAATTTCAATCATAAAATACATGTTTTTTTCAAAAACTTCTACCTGAACTTTTTGAAAGAGCTAATTTTTTACAACAGACTGCAGATTGAGTGAGACAAATATCTCTATCTCCAATTTTGAAGTTAAATTTTTCCCTCCTCAATCTTCGAAAAATTGGGGATGAAAACAATAATGAGACCTGCACCATTCTCTTAAACATCCTTTCAACAACAAAAGTTAATCAAAACATTTGGAGCCATTTTTTTGAAAATACAAAAGGGGCTTCATGTAAAGAACCCCTCAAAATTAAAATATCGGTTTCAAATTCCAGGCGCCAAACTCCTGCATCTGACATCAGCTAGAACGATCGTGAAATATCAATTTTGGAAAAAACCTGAACGATTTATGCGCCAAGGGTTGGGCACAGACAAACAGACAGATGGCCAGTTTTGCTATCAATCAACTTTTACTTTCATATACACATATGTATATACAAAATAACATACGTATTATAGGGAAAGTTACGTAACGCTGCGAAAAATCTATTTCGAGATTTTCATGTAAATACACGTTGTAGGGTCCCCTTATTCAAAAAACGTGTCTTCAAAACACCAGTCTGCTAGTCTGTGAACATTACTAGCACCTAAATCATATGTAGAATTTTTTCCAAATCCATTTGGTTCAAGTCAAAGCTTAGAGAGTTTGAAAAAAAAAAAAAAATTCTTAAAATTTCTTTAAAGTTTGGGGGTACTTTACATGAAGCCGTACAGACATTTTCAAAATGCTCTCACAAATGGCTCCAAATATTTTCATATTTTTTTGTAAGAATAGAGTAACATACACTCATAATCGCGGCATAGGTCTGATTTTGTCGGTCAACTGAATTTTCGAAAATTTTAAAACTATAAATTTGTTTTGATGTATTCCTACAACTACAAAATTGAAGACGGAGATTTTTCCTTCAAATAAAATTTGTTCTCTATTGTGAGTGCTTTCATTGAGGTCATGTACATTTTCTTTAATAATTTAGTTTTCGGGCAATATTGTGTGCAATGTTAAAAAAATCACAAAGCAAGATTTCTCAAAATCAGCCACAAATTTTTTCTTTAAACTCTCGGTAAGGATAATGCTAAATGCACTCTATCAATGTCATAAATGACATATTGCTCTATTTTTATGTTAAAGAAAATACACAAATAGAATTTTAATGACTTGTCTCTCATGTAGTCACATTAGTTGCAATATGCTTTAAATAATGTGAGGAAAAGTTTCCCAAGAAAGCAATTTCCAGGACGGCTCCAAATTTTTTCATCAAAGTTTTGCAACAGATAGTGGCTAATTGCACTGTTTAAGGTACATAGAATTAATTTGCGGGTATTCAATTTTTTTTTTTTTTTTTTTTTACTACAAGCAATGTATTGTTTTGAAAGATTTGTCATATCTTTAATATTGCACATTTCCAGCTAATTTGTAAAGACTATTGAATCTGTGACAGGAAGTGCTTGAAATGACATTATATGAAGTTTTCAAAAACTAATAGTTTTTGTGAAAAGAGGTTAAATTTAAAATTTCAGTAACGCTAAAATGCAATTTCTTAATTATGGCTCCTTATTTTGTAATGAAAATTGCTATTAAGAAAAAAATGAATCTTCACAATTGTGTTTTGTAGGAAGATGCTGATATTTTTAAACATTTTTGCAAAATGCAGGGCATTTTCAAGAAAACAACACCTGCACACCCTTGAAGCATCCTTTATGGCTATCTAAGGTTCAATTTTAAAAAAAAAGTTGTTTGCATTTTTTAGGGCAGATAAAAAATGGTTTAAGAAAGAAAATGCCTATGTTTTAAAAAAAAAAATTTTTCACAAAAATGCTGGGGGATGTTTTTGAAACTAGACATGAACCCTTTATTGAAGGATGTTTTGATGAACATACTTGATTTAAGAAAATAGTGATTCCAGGAATGCCACAGACTCTCCTGCATTAGTTTTCAATTCTTTGGTCGTGGCTAGCAATTAGACCCTTGAATACTCTTGCACTGCATCTATAGGGCCCAAAGTCTATTTTTTTTGCAACTTACTAACTTTTTTGGTTTCCTACAGTAGATCAGAAATATTATTTTAAGAATATTACAAACGTAAAATCTCGACGTAAACGGCTATTTTCTTTGAAAAAATTGTAGAACAGTTTTTTAAAAAGAATAGGCGTTCAGTGGCAACTGTAAATTCGCATTAGGAAGCCCTTTTCACAGAAAAGTTTTGGAGTTTTCAAAATCTTTTATTAGAGTCATTTAAAGAAATGTAATCACAAACAGTGTGTATACAAATTGCTGAAATGTATATAACAGCATGGAGATCTTTCCAAAAATTAGATTTCGAGTAATTTTTGAAGGAAAAAAAAAAAAACAACAAAACAATAACAAAAAGGACTAATTCATATTAAAGGGAGTTCAATTTAGCACTATCGCTTTCGAAAAGTTAGAATAAACAATATGGGAGCATTTTTTGGAAATGGCGCTTGCATATTTCTAAAATTGCAGCATTTTTTGGGCTATTTTAATAAAAACAATGGCGAGTTTCAATAAACTGTATATGCATCATTAAAACACATGTTCTCATAAATATAATAATGTGAACAAATGCCACTTATGTTATACTGATACATGAGAGAAAAGTAAAAAATACATTTTTTGTAATTTGAAAACAAAAGAATAAATAAAAATGGTGGATACGTATCTCAGCTACATTTAACACTATCTACTCAAAGTTCAAAGAAAAAAATTGGAGCTGTTTTTGAGAAAATCTTATTTTTTTCATAATCGTAATTTTCGTAATTTTTGTTTCATAAATACGTATTTTCGTATAATTTCATAATTGGAAATTGCACGCAATATTGCGTAGGAGTAATTAAGAGAAAAAAATACTTGAAGGAAAAGTACGCTACAATGTTTGTAGCTATAGGAGCCGAAAAAATTCTAATTTGGGCAATGTACGAAAATGCAGCTTTGTTCACGTGAAAATAGGTCTAAGCCACCCTTAAAGTATACTTTCTTGAGGCAAATTGGAGGACTTGGTCTAGGCAAAAAATCTCAATTTTTGTAGTATTGATTTTTTTTTTTTTTATCTTCAAAATGCCACACAATACACAAACTAGGGACAATATTTTTTTATCGGGGTTTAATTACATAAGTAAGAAATTTAATAGAAAAAAATTGTGGCAGTTTTTTGAGAAAAACAACACCATAATATTTCAGACACAAATAAACGCAATAATTTAACATTTTGATAAAAAATTGTTATACTCTTATTAACGAGCTAATCTCATCTCAAAATTTTGAATTTTGGTTTTCCCCCCCTCTCAATTTTTCGAAAAATTGGTGATGCAAAAAAATTTAAACTGCACCATCCTGCTTAAACGTCTTTGGCTATTCAACACAAATTTAATCAAAAAAATTGGGCCATTTTTTTGAAAATGGGCTTTATGTAAGCGCAAAATTAAAATTTGGTTTCAATTCCTAAGCTAGAACGATTGGGGAATATCAATTTTGGAGAAATCGGCTGAACAGCTAATGTGCTTGTACACAGGTGGACACCAGCAATACGTTTTGCAATCGAATCACAACTTTTGCGTATGGAGGATACACAAGAGCATGGATTCTGCTACACGCACATTTTACAGGATTTTATTTCTAAATTAGAACTGGATTTATTCTTTTCGTTTACTAGTGCTGGTATAAAGAGTTTTCTGCTTGAAATTCTCTGTTTTTTCACGGCAGATTACATTAACCTTTTCTCTATTTCGTAGCGGAGAAAAGAAACGGAGTAATACGTTATAATGGGTGGAGAATCCGCCTATCCAGAGTGTGCATTATATTAATATTATTCTTGTTTTCTGCTCATGATAGTCTTGTATGATTGATTTTGATTCCAGGCATGTCAATGGTTAGGGCGGTGATTCGTTAGTGTAGTGCATGTTTTATCGCGTTAGGTGGCTGTTGATCTTCTTTGCTGGCGGGGGGGGGGGATCGCTGCTGACCACGTAGCTTGTAGGGATTTTCCCACACATCTCTCACCAGCCGTGGCACGCCCGCTGGGACAAGCTCTAAGCTCCCGACTGGTCTCCCGGCATGTATGGAAGTGTGGTGCACGTGCGTGGAAGTGTGTGTGTGTATGTGTAAGGGGTGAGGAAAGGGCAAGGAAGAGGAAGGAAAGATAGCACACGGCTGATGGCCCTCCTCCATCATCTGAAGATTCACATAACGAACTTCTAAGTGAAAAATGAAAGACGATGAAATCAACGATGGTGAATGTTTAGGGGAGACTTTCAAGAGTACATTAATACAGAATACTGCAATGCATAGCACCAAAAATGTGGTTTCTCCTAAACTAATGGCTGCTTTAGATAGATGCCAGCTATATGTAAGACGTTCTGTATACTACACCCTATAGGTGACACTAGAGGCACTTGGCACAATACCCGAAGAACTCTATTAATAAATCTTCAATTGTTCGAATCAGACACAAAAAGAGAAGAGCATTAAGAATCCATTAAATCTGCTTTTAAGAGTAATATATCTGAAATTCTTACTGTTTGTTGGGATGGTAAACTGTTGCCTACATTAAACGTAAGAGACTCAAAAGACAAAAATCTTCCAATTGTTTTACATTGGGGGCAACTGTTTGGAATGTCCAAAGAGGTATCGAAGACAATGTACGAATTCTTTGCTGTGATACTATTGCATCAAATACTTCACGCTTTGAAGGAGCATGCCTTAACTTTTGTTTTGGATGTTAATTTTCAAAGGAATGTTTAAGAAGTGGAAAAATGGATATTTAATTTACGTGTGTATTAAGAAGACCTTTGCTAAAGTTCTGAAGAAAAAACATTGAATAAAATGACAAATATACAATTTATTGCAATAAATTTTCAGCCTTGAACTAACATTATGTGAAAAAATTATAAAAAACAAAAATGGGCTAAAAAGAATTTTCAAAAAGCATAAAATGACATTTATAAAACCCTAAAAACCGAGCTACTAGTCATACTTGACAGAAATAATGTAAGACAATTTGCCTTTAAACATTATAATGCTGTGACAAGTTTTCATTGAAAAAAATTCCTTGACTGGTTCCTCGACATTATTTCCTTCAATGTGGATTTCAATTCATAATCAATGTAGTTTCAAACAAAATTAATAATTTCACGTACCTTTCTCTGATACAACTGATGAAGCCACTCAGCAGCTTTTTCTTCATCTTCTGGAACTTCAGTGAGAGGGATTCGTTCCATAAACATATGGCCTTCAATTTTCTTTCCTAATAAGTAATCCATCACAGTAGGACCTATGTCTCTAAAAAGAAAGGTGAGGGGGTAAGAAAAAAGAGAAATAATTAAAATGAGTACATCATAGAGGAACTATATAAAGAAAAAAAATACTTATTAAGTATATCTGTAAACATTAATGAAATCCAGTTCTCCTAAATTTAATCCCAATCTTCAAGTGGATTCTAATCCACATGATTTTCATACCTAAAAATTACAAAATAAACACAATTAATTTAAAAATTGGTGATAATTTTAAAGAGGTTTTCATAATTAATAAAATAAGAATGTACACTGTGTTGAAATTTTGCCCTTGATAAATTTTGTGTCTGAAAATAAATGGCAATAATTTTTTGACAATGTTAAATACTTTTTAATTATTTTTAGTACAAAATTTAATTGAAGTTACATAGCTAGGGTTTGAGACTATAAATATATTTGTATATGAAAAACAAGAACATTTAATTGAAATCAACAACCACCACTACTACTACATTACACAATTCATTAGTAAAGAGATAATTTTATATTGTAGAAGTATTATAAAATATGCGATAAAATCTTTAACTTGTACATGAAACATGCCAATATTCAATTACACAAAAATTTGTGCAGATTGATTTTTAATTTGAATCAAACAATAAAGTCAGAAATCAATAATAGTCAAACTTTATTTGTAATATAATTGAGAGATTTCTAACAAAAACCAAAAGAGTGTGATTGTTTCATATTTTGAGATATTTCACGCTTATTTCACCCAAGTTATTCCCAACAACTGGCATCATCTGCAGGGGCATTTCCACTTGCAAGTGGCAAATACATTAAAATATATAATGCAGGTGGAAAATTATAAATTCATTACTATGCACGTCTATCCATGAAGTTTTTGGTGCCTCCTGAAAAATCGCAAATTTGGACTAGTATGGTTCTTGTTAGAAACCCTTCACTTGGTTTATTTTACATTTTGAAGTGACACATTTTGAGGTCACATTTGACCTCATCTTCAGGTACAGTGTCCCACACCCCCCCAGGGAGGGAAAAAAAAGAGGGGGAAATTTTTTTTTCAACGGTCCCCCGCCCCCTAAAAATCATCCCATGGAAAAAAAGTTTTTTTTTTTGGTTGGCCTCCTGAAAAAAATTCCGGTCAAATTTTGGAACTAGTATTCGGTCTTCCTTTTTGTTTAAGTTGAAACCCTTTCACTTTTGGTTTTATTTACCATTTTTGAGTGGGGAAACAACAATTTTATTTGGGTAGGTCACAAATTTTATGACTCTCCATCTTCAGGTTAAAGGCAGTGGTAAATATAATAAACAATTTATCAACACATACGAATTGTTAACTTTCTTAACAATGATTTAAATAAGAGCACATGACACAATGTTTTACAGATTGAAGAAAGATTCATCAAGCTTAAAAAGATTGTATTTTTTTAACCGAAGGGGCCACTAACTTAACCTAGT